ATGTATTGTTATGGAGAAACATGCCACGCTGACTTTCAGTAATTTTTCTGCATATTCCGTCTGACTTGAGGTCAAACATGAGAGGATTAGCCAGCCTCTAATCCGTGCAGGTGGTGGTGTGGCCTTGGGCTGCTCAAGTCCTCTCAGTTTAGCATGCAGGATGGCTGGTTTGGAGAATTGGAGCACACCACCGCTCTGGGGGGATTTTAAGCTAAATAAATAGACAAAATAAAAGAGCTGGAATAAGAAAGGGTTTTATGGAGAAAGGGGTGATATTAGCTTTGTGATTGAGTGGGGAGAGTGGGACTCTGAGAAGGAGAGGGAATGGAGAGTCACACTATAGGTGCAATGTTGAGGCATTTTGTGGTGTGCCTGCTCTTAATTATCATGTCCCCCAGTGCTTAGTCTCCCTTCCCAGCTCACCCACTTTCTTCATCTCCTTTTCAATTTTCTAATTGCTTGGTTTTAATTAAAGCCACACAGAAGTGACAGTGAATCAATTAAAAGCCAGGAAATGGGCACAGATAGTCAAAGGCTGCATTTTTGAGGGGGTATTTTTGTCAGAGAGGATTGTTTCCACAATACCGTCATGCCTTAGGAGAAATCAACAAGCTGCCTCTCTCCTGCATGAATAAGTGATGTGAAATCTCACATGCTGGTGCTATATTGGCAGCGTGTTCTGGTGATGTGTAATACAGGCTTTGTTGTGCCTAAGTTTGTATCTAATACATGATATATTTATGCTAAGACTATATACAGTGAGGAAAATAAGTATTTGAACACCCTGCTATTTTGCAAGTTCTCCCACTTAGAAATCATGGAGGGGTCTGAAATTGTCATCGTAGGTGCATGTCCACTGTGAGAGAATGATCTAAAAAAATATCCAGAAATCACAATGTATGATTTTTTAACTATTTATTTGTATGATACAGCTGCAAATAAGTATTTGAACACCTGTCTATCAGCTAGAATTCTGACTCTCAAAGACCTGTTAGTCTGCCTTCAAAATGTCCACCTCCACTCCATTTATTATCCTGATTTAGATGCACCTGTTTGAGGTCGTTAGCTGCATAAAGACACCTGTCCACCCCATACAATCAGTAAGAATCCAACTACTAACATGGCCAAGACCAAAGAGCTGTCCAAAGACACTAGAGACAAAATTGTACACCTCCACAAGGCTGGAAAGGGCTACGGGGAAATTGCCAAGCAGCTTGGTGAAAAAAGGTCCACTGTCTGACTGTGTCTGTGACTGTCAATCTCCCTCGGACTGGGGCTCCATGCAAGATCTCACCTCGTGGGGTCTCAATGATCCTAAGAAAGGGGAGAAATCAACCCAGAACTACACAGGAGCTGGTCAATGACCTGAAAAGAGCTGGGACCACCGTTTCCAAGGTTACTGTTGGTAATACACTAAGACGTCATGGTTTGAAATCACGCATGGCACGGAAGGTTCCCCTGCTTAAACCAGCACATGTCAAGGCCGTCTTAAGTTTGCCAATGACCATTTGGATGATCCAGCGGAGTCATGGGAGAAAGTCATGTGGTCAGATGAGACCAAAATAGAACTTTTTGGTCATAATTCCACTAACCGTGTTTGGAGGAAGAAGAATGACGAGTACCATCCCAAGAACACCATCCCTACTATGAAGCATGGGGGTGGTAGCATCATGCTTTGGGGGTGTTTTTCTGCACATGGGACAGGGCGACTGCACTGTATTAAGGAGAGGATGACCGGGGCCATGTATTGCGAGATTTTGGGGAACAACCTCCTTCCCTCGGGTTAGAGCATTGAAGATGGGTCGAGGCTGGGTCTTCCAACATTACAATGACCCGAAGCACACAGCCAGGATAACCAAGGAGTGGCTCTGTAAGAAGCATATCAAGGTTCTGGCGTGGCCTAGCCAGTCTCCAGACCTAAACCCAATAGAGAATCTTTGGAGGGAGCTCAAACTCCGTGTTTCTCAGCGACAGCCCTGAAACCTGACTGATCTAGAGAAGATCTGTGTGGAGGAGTGGGCCAAAATCCCTCCTGCAGTGTGTGCAAACCTGGTGAAAAACTACAGGAAACGTTTGACCTCTGTAATTGCAAACAAAGGCTACTGTACCAAATATTAACATTGATTTTCTCAGGTGTTCAAATACTTATTTGCAGCTGTATCACACAAATAAATAGTTAAAAAATCATACATTGTGATTTCTGTTTTTTTTTTTTTAGATTATGTCTCTCACAGTGGACATGCACCTACGATGACAATTTCAGACCCCTCCATGATTTCTAAGTGGGAGAACTTGCAAAATAGCAGGGTGTTCAAATACTTATTTTCCTCACTGTACCTGTGTGTGAACCTCTGTTTCATTACTGTGATATCACGTGTCAGGTTGTGTTGCCTTTGTGTGTCATTTCCTCTCCCATGAATCCCAGCCAGTTCCCCTCCCTCTAACCGCTCAATTACTGATGTACTGTAGCCTCCCGCTTTTCTCATTTCCTTAATGATATCACATTCGACATTTTAGGACTTATTTCTCCTCATCTCATCTTTCAATTATGCAGCAGCATTTTGGCTCCAGCTTCTGACGATACATACGGTGTCCTACCTGCTTTTACACAGAGGATCTTCCAGCTGAACTGGGTCCTGACTGTACTCTGATCCCTCCTAGATTTACCCTGCAATGAGACAATTACAATTACGTCCCTGCCTTTGATGTGCTTTCCAAATAACTGGGGCAAGTCAGATGAGAGTTTCTGTGATACAGACACTAATTTACTTCCAAGTTGAGGAAAATCAAACACTTATCTGTAAAACTCTACACTGACAAAAAAAAAAGCTCTGGCTGGAAATCCTCTCTACGGTACTTAAGAGCCATTTTTCCCCTTGGTTTTGCCTGCATTTACTCCGGCTTTATTATTCTAGCATTAAGTATAACTAGCATTTTAATAAAACTCTTATGTCACTTGGCCTGGAAAAGCTTGCTAAACTTATCACTGCTTACCTCATTGCAGTAGACTATATTACATATTGAAATCACTTTTTTTTATTGTCTGTTTTATTCCTAATTAGTCTATAGAAGTTGTAGAGTAAATAATGACAGTCCAAGGACAAATTTTGACAATAAAATTTTATTAGGTTTTAGTTTTCGTTATATGAGCACATTTTCAAAATGCTATATTTGCAGATGAAAATTTGTTATATCAGTGTTTCCAAACAGTTGAATAACACAATCTCAACTCAAGGTCCACTTCATGGTCTTCCTCACAACACCTAAAGTGTGGCACGTCAGCCATGTGATAACAGGTTGTCATATATGGGGGTGTAGATCGTAACCTCTGTCTCTGTTCAACTATGAACAGGCACATACTAATCCAATCAGTTTAACTACCAGTGTACTACTCAGTTAAACTCACCATGAAAAAAAGTCAGTACATGACTTATTCAAATAAATCTCTTAAAATATTATATATATAATTTTCAACCTATATATAAAATTTAAACTTAAGTCTTGCCTTTTATTTAACAAAGTGTCAGTGTATGGCATTTATATGAAAATTTAAAAGGTTCCATTTACCACTGCTGCAAGTAAGCATGCAAATAAGCATGTTTATTGTCAGATTTATAGAGTTCTGTGCACTTGTTGACGTGTTTCCTTTCTCCCCCTAAATTAAAGTGATGGATGTTTGTGTGTATGTGAACAAGCTTATTAGAGAATCCACACCTCATCAGCTCCTGCAAATTTCTGTTACAAATGGATGCAGGGATGCCTAATATTCTTCCTGTTAAATTTAACATCTCATTCAGGTCATTCAAACATGAACATATTAAAAAAGAAAATCATCCATAGCTGATTTGGGCTTCATTATGGATGACATTGACTTCACTGGATATGGAGGCATTTGGTGCCATTTAAACAAAAAGATTAATTTTTAAAACATGATTAGAAGTACTTTAACTGTGTATCAAAATGAGAAAAGATTTTGAATCTGGGTTCTGGCCAAAGCATACAGTGTCAAGATTTAGTGTGATAAAATTGAATGTAAGTTTATAAATTTTATTTAACTGTTAATTTTCTCAGTTTTTGGGCTTTTCCAGCAATAAAATGTTAAATTTTGCCACCAAAATGAAATAACTTTTTTAGTGAGTTTTGTAAAGGAAAGCAGAGAAGCTAAATCACTGTGAGATGCAGAGTAAGAGTAGTTATGAGGTGGGTGTTCGAATGAGCTGGCAGGGGGGTGAATGTTCATGGTGGTGAGTAGATAAGCATCAAACACCTGATGCCAGACCTGTTCAGTTTAAATATAATTATGCCACACTCTTATTATCCATGCATATAACCAATCTTTCTGTGCTTATTTATCATTTAACAGAATTTGAAGAGAAAAAAAGTTAAATGGAGCACTTACTTGTGGATCAATTTATTTCACGGTGAGGGGAATGTAAAGAAGAGGAAATAGAATTTGTCTTCCAAAGGCCCATTTATAATAATAATGGCCTGGAATATCTACAGATTCCAGATGACACTTTCATTAATATCCTTAGTGCTTTTCAATGAACTGCAATATATCACACCACAGTCTGCATGTCGTTTTTGAATTTTCTTTTCATTCCCGTTGGTCAGGAACTTATTTCATATTAAACTTCTGTATGTTGTTGATAAGATGGAATTTTTTAAAATTCCATTTATAGCCAAATGTTCACTAATATTTACATTGTATAACCTGTGCATAAACCCTAGATGTGTACAGGATGAGTGGCCCTGTTTGTAGGAAGCAGCTATAGTTTAGCCAGCAGGAACTGATCAGAGGAGACAAATTGCAAACTAGAGCAAAGATAGAGTAGGAAACAGGGTGGAAAAAAACCCTAAATTTGCTGACAAAATCAATTTCTGGTTTAAATGAATTAAAAGGAAAGAAAGGAAAACTGGGTCGAGCAGGCCTTTTACTTGCTCCCAACAAACCTATAAAATGCTTAAATGCAGCAATAAATAGACTCAGACTGCAATGGTAGACATAAGAAGATATAGATTTTAATATCTTTATAAACATTTTTGTACTGTTTTCTGATGTTAACTTACTGAACAATTGAATTATGGCAAAGAAAGAAGATGAATAGGCATACACTAGGACAAGAAATAGGGAGGTGAGGAATTGTGCATTAACAATTAAAGGTTCTAAAAATATAACATGAAAAATATGTAAATAAACAAATCACCAGAAAATCAAAAATCAAAAGACTCCTCCTGACAGGAGGAGCAGAAAACCCTGTTATCATCATTGATTTCACTGATATTGTTTTTCTCATAGTATACAGTTAATGATTAATATCAGCACTGCAAGAAGTCCTCTTGTCTCCATTGTTACTGGTACAGTTCACATCATTGATCTAAACACCATCTTATCAATACATTTAACGGAGGCACAAAAGCTCCAGAAGTACAGCAAGATGGCCCGTAATTGTCCATCTGTCAATCTGCATTGAACTGCATCCCCTTGTTACTTCAGAAGCGATTGTCTTGGTCTTGGAAACCCATATTCATGGACAATCACATCAGTTAATTAACAGGCATACTCTCAGCATGACCCCTGTTTCACCATGCTCCATTCAAAATGTTTTTTTCATCTTTCATTGATCTCATGAGTCATTTAAGATAGACACACATGTTTTTTTGTCGAGTCTTGTTCTTGTATTCCTTTAAAGTTAAGTGAATAAAAAAAATTGTGTTCCTCACATTCTCATTGAGGAAGGTATGCCCTCACTGAGGAGGGATCAGTTCAGCACAACCTCACTGGGAAACTGAGAAAGCCCCGTTTGACCCTTGACCTCTAAGGCTCCTGTTGGCCCTGCAGAATCCATCTCTAGGTCCATTTTGTGTCTTACAAAAATCAAATGAACAACATCTGACACAAGGTATAGACAGACTCAATATTCACAGCTTGATCTCCCAGAGACACACATTGTTTTCCAAGCCAATGGAAATAGCTCATGGCAGTCGTTGTCATCTTGAAACAATTAGCAGCTTAGTATTCAGTTGCACAGAAGGAGTGAAGTGCTGTAAATGAAGACGGAAGCAGAGTTATGTGTATTGTTAAATAGGCAGAAAGGTTGGTACAGCACCTGGAAAAAGCCAGCATTATGTAGAATAGTTGTTACAACTTCATGAACTAACTGGTTGCTCTCTTTATAGCCTTAAAACATATGTGTCTATAGATTTCCATTGTGTTGTGAGAATGGCACATTCCTATGTTTAATACTGAATGACCATTTATTACCATGCTTACACTTTCCTTTTTTGTTTATGAGAAACCAATTGTTTGGACCTGTTGTTAGCAAAGGATGCAACAGAAATATACACTTGGCAGAAAGGATGAGAGCAAGATAGGACTGACATTGTAGACTTTACAGAATCATTGACTTTCCATTTTTACTTTCATGATAACAATTTACAAACTGTGAACTAGAAATTAAAGCTGGATGGAGCACTCGAAGACCTAGCTAGTCTCAGGGCTAACAAGCTAACAAGTTTTACCTCATTTGTGCTGTCATCTCTTCCTCTTTTTCACCAAATTTTGGTTATCTGAGCTCCAGTTGAGTGAAAAAAGAAGTTAAAAAATATATAAGATACCAAGACATATGAAAATGAAATCATATTGGCATAAGTGGCAGTGCAAGCTTGGTCTGCAATAACTTTTCATCATTCTCCCACTCTCAGTCCCTCCAACTTTTTTGCTGCGAGTCTTTCTGTTGTAGATGTTTAATGCTTTGATGCCTGTATCAGTCTGAACAGTAAAGCTCCCTACGCAACATTTACACATATAATCACACACACACACACACACACACACACACACACACACACACACACACACACACATAAAAGACACACAGGCCTTGTAGTGCAGGAGCAAGAGAGGGTCTGAGGGCTGTGTTTTTTTGTGATTAGCATTTGCTAAAAACTTTGAAGGTCAACGGAAAATGTAGTCAATATTTGTCGTTATCAAGGCCATAAGGAGGACACAGACATGAAGTAAGGACTGGGATAATGTTGCCCTATTGTTGGCTTGCTGAACCCCACTAGGGGGGCGAACAGTGGTCCGGGGAGTGCACTTGTGCTTCCTCCGTGTGATGGTGCCATCGGGGGACGTGTGATCATGTTTCCCCCCATCTGTGAAATCTGGGGAGGAATCCTCCTTGTCTGTCATGACCTCCTTTGAGTGGTGAACTTCATTGTCACCCTTTCCCTTGCTCACCCTGTTACGAGGCTTTGTGCAGTTCCGAGAACGGCCGGGCCTTGAGGGGTGTACTATGTGGGTCTGCCCTCCAGAGCCCACTGCTACACCACGATTCATAGACGGATTCACCGTACCAGATAGATTGTTAGTCTGGGCTCTGGACTCAGAATTAGGTACAGTTGGCGAACAATTAGGAAAGTCCTCCTTGCGCAGCTCCTTTATATCTTTCCCAATCATCTCAGCCGGCGCCTGGCAACCCACTGAAGACGTTGAACCTCGGAAACGTTTCAACCACTCCCATAGCGACAGGGCCTTGCAGTCACATGACCAGGGGTTGTCGTTGAGGCGCAGATATTCCAAGGCGGGCAGCATGTCCAGGCACTGTCCGGACAGCTCTATCAGGGAGTTGTTGAACAGGTATAGAGTGGTGAGACGTTTCAGGTCGTGGAAGGCCAAGCGATCAACCCACTCGATCTGATTTTGGTGCAGAAGCAGTCGGTCCAAGGCTCGAAGGCCTCTGAAGGTGTTCTGGTTAATACTCCGCAGACGGTTTCCATGCAGGAACAGGTGGCTTAGGTTGTGGAGGTCCATAAATGTGTCATCCTGCAGGAATTTCAGGTGATTATCCTGAGGAGATACAGAGAGCACACAATGACAAGATAACCTATTAGACAAACAACATTTTCCTGTATTAAAGTAACCTTAACTTGTATCTACATGCCATAAATACATTTTGTGAATCAGCTTACTATGAGAATAATAAAAATTCTCAGTGAACAAGCACTATAGGCTGGTAGGCTATGCCTTCTTCTCCAGCTGGCAGTTTTCCTAAACCCACTGTCCATCTGACCTATTGGCTGCTCTGTTGCCTTCAGGGTTTTGTTGTTATTTTTCACAAAATAGAGGAAACTAATTGATGGATAAATGGAATTTTGGATTTAGCACCAAAGATGGAAAAATTGTGGATAAAGGTGTAAAGGTGTGTTGTAAAATGCAACTGACAGGTTGTCACTCAAGTGAGGCAGCAGAGGAACGTTAATTCTTCAGCGTAGTTTAAGATTAGGCTACGTGGGTTGTGTTCAAATTCATTCAAATAATATACAAGTCAGTTCTAATTATTTTTTTTGGAAAGGTGACAGCCCTAATAGAGTCTTGGTGGTAAAATGAACCAGAGAAACTGTCCAGTGTACCTGCAAGTAGAGATACTGCAGGTTTCTGAGGCCTGGAAGATGTTATTAGGAAGTGAACTTAGCCCACAACGGTACAGGTGTAGCGCATTGAGCCGACTCAGCCCGTGAAAGGTGTCTTCAGCCAAGGAGCGCAGGTGGCGGTTGTCTCCCAGATCCAGTTCCTCGAGCAGCGTGAAGCCGTGGAAGGTGGAGGGCTCAATGTATGTGATGTTATTGGAGTAGATCCAGAGGGTGACCGTGTTGGAGCTGAAGTGGCCCTGAAGTAAGCGATGGATCTTATTGTTCTGTAAGAAGATGCGCTCACTGTCAGGAGGAATGCCTTCAGGGACTGAGAGGAAGTTGTGGGCTTGGCAGGAGACGGTGGTGGGTGCAGTGTAGCAGATACAGTGACGGGGGCAGGACCAGGAAAACTCGAGCCCACAGAGAACCAGCAGGAACTCTAGTCCACAGCCTGCAGTGACCACACACACACACACACACACACATGTTGAGAAAGAGAAAAAGGAAAGTCAAGAAGGAGAGGGGATTACAGACAAATCACAAACACACACAAAGAAAGACAGGAGAGGAAAAAGGCGAGTTAATAAGTGAGTTAATTTTAACTTTAATATTTAGACATAGTGCTCCCTTGTTTAATTCAAAACTTGAATGACATAAGAGTCTACAACCATACTAATGGCCCTATGTGTTTAAAATGTCAAACCTGCTGGTGACGATAAAGGTACAGTCAGTTGGTCACCAAAGTCTGGATATCTGTGGCATATTTCAATCTTATAGTTGTCAAAATATTTCACTCTGATCCACAAACACAGACTTAATGAACAAAAATGTCAGAATACAATTCCATGACAAGCGATTCAGTTGTGCCTAAAAATGGACATCATAGTCTTGAGATCACACTGCACAGGTCACAGGTCGGGAAACAAGGACACTGAGCAGAATCTGAGGGCTGGCTGAGACATGTGTTGCTCAGCATAGGTTTCTGTTTTGTCTTGTTTTTTTGTTTTTACAAATATCTTGTCTCTCTGATTGGTTTGACTTGTACCACAGTGTGTGCTACACAGATGGACCTTCTTTGTCACAATTTACTGCCTGAATCCACAGAGTATGTTTAGGCCCACAATGAGGAGTCTATTGAAGAGAGCAAACAATAACACCTGCTCCAGTGAGTCACAAGACATCTCAGGGAAGCTGATTGGATCCCTGGTGCAAAACACTTGTCTGAATCGACACATATGCAACTATTTCAGAAATTACCATTTCCAATATTCTGCCACCGAAGGGAGAGGTGCTATTAAGTGTCCATTCCCTTCCCTGAGTCCAATGGCACTACTTTGCAGCGACTGGAGGCTGTGATCAGTCTTTTTGGGTTGTTAAATAGAGTGTGGAATGCTTATTTAAACTTGTAGTAAGCTGCTCTGAGGCTCTTTCTGATCTATGACATGATTCCCTAGATCCTTGAGATGGGAGATGTGACTTATCCACAGTCTCATCTGAAATGAGCATAGCCCATCATCAACGTTCCATCTGACAACCCCTGGCTGTCTTCTACTCAATTTATTATTCACAGCATCGCAGAGACCTGATTCACTGCCTCTAATCGATATGCCTCTGTTGCTTTTAAACCCACCCTGTAATCCTGGTTCTTTTATGCTGGAAATTCAGGAGCTGCAGAATTACTCTCCACCCAGAGACAGCCGTATTTATCTAATGTATTTTCTCGCCAAACTGTGGCTAAGCTGTGACATTCAGCGTTTGACTCCACTGACCTTTAACAGTAATTCTCTGTGTCTAGTTGCAGAGCTGGAGCATGGAGCTGTGTGTCACCTGAACAGAAGTGTGTTCTCTCGGGCACGGATCTAATCCTATTTGTTAAGCCCTGCCACTGGGCAACAATGGAAATGCATGCATCCTCCTGAACCAGAAATGTGCCCACTAAATGAGGTGTTTCCTCACGGTTGAACACTGTCAGAAGGTTTAATGTGAGTTTATATGTGCTGGTATGCAGGTGAATATGTTGTGTTGGAGACCATGACATGCCTTGAGAGAAGTAACACAGGCCTTGGCTTTATTTAGACTTATCATTCATGTCATGACCTGCATCAGGATAGGTCCTTTAGTATGTTGCTGGCTAAATTTAGCTTTGTCACACTGTCAAGACCCAACAAGAAAGCTGTTTCACTCTTTTGTCACTCTGCAGCAAAGGACTGCAGCACTCCGTTTTTGTCTCAGTCTTTTTCTCTACTAGCCATTTCCATGAAGATGTATCAAGCATGGCACCCACTGACTAAGTAAATAGGTGAGAGCATTTTGCATTACAGTTGGGAAATAAAGGTTTGCTTTATTTATCAGACAAATAAGCAAAACAAGACACGGTACATTTTCCAGCCGCCATTTGAGGAACATTTGCATTAAGAGATGCTTGAGATGCAGCTGTCTAGTCATTTAATTTGTTATCGGTTCACATTTTATTAGAATATTGACCCTCACAAAGAAGCATTTTTTATAAAAAACACATAAAATATAACAAATTGAATCTCTCTTTTAGTTTCACATTTGTTCTGAGATGAAATGATACTCGTTTCAATCACCTGCCTTAGCAGGAATCCATCCAAGAGATTCCATTATTCATAAATCTGATCTTCCTCTCACTCCAGTAATCATATAGCCTTTAACTATTTCACAACACTTTACTTCATGCATGTCAATAGAATTAGCTAGTAGATTTATAACAGGAAAATTATCTGAGCAGGCAAGAGACCGACAGTGATAAGTGTTACACACAGGGAAAGCGAGGGGATGAGAAAGTAGATGCCGCCTAGATAGTAAGACAATTTGAATCAGTGATCTGCTAATCACGTTGGACACATAAGGATGCGCCTTCTCTCCCCTCAGTCTCTCTGAGTTTGTCAGGACAAAGTATTAGATTATTTACCCTGCCTAATCTGTTCCTCTAAAAGTTTTTAACGGATTTGCCCAATGCCTCTATTTGTAGAGATAAACATGATAGATATTTTTCTTCTCTATGAACTTCATCCCTTGTGGGGCTTTAGAATACGTGAACTTATAATGTGGATGATTTTTAGAAGCTGACAGTATCTCATATATTCTCTTCTGCATACGGACTGAGTGACGCAGGAGTAGCATGCACCCTTTTTCTTGTTTTCAGCCACACCGAGGGCATGTGTGCTCTCTTTTGAAGCTGGCATTACATGCACTTCCACTGGAGACTTAAACGCCTGCCAGCTCACTAATCTCAACACCCCATGTATTTACACCGCTGAACATGACTATAAATACAGAAGTAAATGTAATTTCACACATGCATTCACACAGCACGTCACAGAAATACTGTAATATGTGATTTATTGCATGCATATACATACACTCTCTGTAGACACACACTATGGAAGACATACATTCTCAAGTATTAACATGTGCATCAGGTGTGGGAATGAATGAATCAGATCATGGTATTATGGCATGACAACCATAAAAGGCTGAATGACGCTTGTTTACAGAGCTTTGAATAGGGATACTGGTTTTCAGCACAGAGGAAAACATAAGTATTGTGTAGGAATGCTGTCTTTAAATGAAAAATGTAAGAAATTAATGCATGTCATAACTGCATTGTGTGCTCACACAATGAGCTATTCAGCTCAAATTGTATTATATAAATAGCTTTGGACACCACAGAGCATAATATGCCAATAGTGCCTATTGGAATTTGGCAGAATAAAGGAGAGGCTCTGAAAGAGAGATAATGTGTTTTTGGAAAGCAAAAGGCACAGCTATTTCTGGGAGGAGTCTGGGTGGTGTATATTAACACTCTCATCACAAGTCTTTCACCTCCAAGCCTCTCCCCATGCAGCTTCACATGACCCCCTTTTTCTTCCCTACCGGTCACTGATGACAGATGCTACTGATAGCTTTTTACAGAGAGCATCACGTTTAACCTTGTAACGTCATCATCACCAAGTTCCCTTTTTCTTTGGGATTGTAGGAATGGAAATAGTTAAATAAATTAATAAAACAGAATAGCACGGGTCCCCTGACAGACAATGAGAAGTGAGTGTATAGAATATCAATGAAACATAGTTCACACTAGATTTGCCCTCATGAATAACACATTTCTGCTAATAGGAGGGAAATGGTACGTCTGTAGAGCTGCGTGACTCTGCCCATTATTAGACTGGACAAACTCAATTTCCTGTGTCTCTCCAAAGACCCTGATAAGCACCCTGGTGTTTTGCTCCTGCTATTGGCTGGTTCTAAATAATGTCTCGATACACTCCACACTCAAGGTGTTTACAGTAATGTTCATGCACTCACTGGTTAATAACAGTAAAGCAATATATTGGACTATTGATTAAATGGGCTCATTCTTCTGAGAAGTATGGCTTAAACCCATCTTATTAAATGTGTGCAGTGTCACTATTACTCTGTGGAGCTAAATGAGGTTTCACTATATGTTATATGTTAAATGTTCTGTACTATACTACACTGTATCTGTATCTCTTTATGTCACAAACACTATCTATATTCCTATATGTATTTGGATTTACACCATAAGTGTAATAACAGCCTGGTGACCTCTGTCATCAGAAGTTACACTGGATTGCTTCATTTTTTGTGTTAAATTGTTTTCTATTGCCATTTATACATCTCAGATGTTATAACAGTTTGATTTGTATTTGAACTACAACAAGAAAAAAAGTCATTCTAAACTGAGTCTAAGATGTGTGACTGTTAATGGTCTCACATCTTGCATGACTTTACTTAACAATGGGAGTTTGAATATATATTTGGAGGAGGCCAAGATGGTCTAAAGAAAGCTATTGACAAAAATCTGAAATGTTCCCTATCTTCAGCTCTTTATTTTTCCATCTACTGTCAAGTCATGCAATATATGCACCACTGTTGCCAGGCTTCAATATCTGTAGGTGGGGTAAAAATAACTGTATTAACTGCAATATTACGGTAATGTTTGGATGCTGTTCATATTTGTTCAGTTCAGAGTGCCTTGTTAAAGACTGTATTTGTATTTTTTCCTAATATGTTATTGTAAGTTCTTCATTATAGGACATTGTTTAATCCCAAGCATCTTTTTATATATATCTACAAATATAATATTGATAATACTGATTTCTAAAATAAGGAGAAACATCTTAAATGATTGGTTTAACATATAATTTTCTATTTATATTAGTTTACATAAGCCTTGGATTCATAAGCAAGCTGATCAATGCGTGAATATAACATTAGTTTCTGACATTTCCAGTATGGGTCTATAATTGCATATTTATTTTAATTAACAATTTTGTAACAAAATCACAATTGAAAAATATTGCAAGTACTGGTTCTTTATCATTCTTAAAGGATAAAGAAACAGCAATAATGGCACAAAACTAATACTTTCACTCAAGCTATTTCTCATTACCATTTTTAAAG